AGGGGGGGAAACTCCCACGTTAAAAATCTGCCTAATTTTACATCACTCACTATTTAGGCTCAGCCCTAACATAGCGGCCTGCAAGGCACCGGTGCCTGGCCTCGCTCTGCCCTCCTGCTGGCTCTCTCAGAGCCTGCCCGCACCCGGGCTGAGCGCTTGCACCACAGGCACCGGAAGGGAGAATTTATTTTCTTTCATGGTATTAACTGGAATAGTTTTGATTTTTATGAGGCTTCTGTTTGTCACATCTTTCCAAAAGCCGCTTACCACCAAACTTTTACGTGCCAGTGCTGAACTGCAGAGCTTGATGATCCCTTAACGTTTAAACTAGGTGGTTAGTATTTACTTATTATGGTTATTATTTATCAATGGCTATTATTTAGTAGCACTCAGGAACTCATAATAACGAAGAACTAGTTTCCCGTTTGGTTCCCCTTTCATCTCCTCTGCTACCCTCCTGTACTGTCCTCAAAGCTCTCCCTGTCCCCTCCCCCCCAGATGTGTTTCAGCACCAGGATTAGAAAGACCGGTTGACGTTACGAACCGTAATTAATTCTTGGGTTTCCTGTTGGTGGCGGGGGCAAACGTGAGCGGCGCCTTTCCCTCTGAAGGTGACCGACGTGATCCCGGAGGGTCAGGGTATCGTTCCCAGGCGACATCAGTCCCGCGAGCCGTCACGAATACCCCAGGTGGCGGGGAGCGGGTGGTGCTGGCGAGGGGGAGCGGGGCTGTGATATGTAACCTTGCCGTCTCTCTCCCCCCCCCCCAGCAATCTGCCCATCGCGCCGGCCTCAGGAGCTTCATCCGCTACGGCTGGCGCTGGAGCTGGAGAGTCGCCGTTTTTGTGACAATATTCAAGTGAGTGTTTCCCGAGGGCAGTGGGAGAAGAGCTGGCTTATGCTTAAGCACCAGTGGCAGGGAGCCCTTCGCGCCGGCAGCGCTCGCAGCTCCTGGCGCGACTGCCGGGGGCTGGCTGAGGCTCAGAGTGGTGTGCTCGCAGTCAGTCGGACTGGTAGGGCGTGAAGGTGAAGAGGACTTAAGCTTTTGTAACTGTCCCAGAATTCAAGTCTTCTAACCAACCAGCCCAAAAGCTAAAACGAGAGAAGCCTGGTTCCTCACATCTAATCCATGCTGTTACTGACTGGAATACTCTTCTTCCCTGTGCTTGACGGCTTCTTTCTGCTTTTGCTTCATCTCTTTTTTTTTTTTTTGGTTTTTTTTGTTGTTTTTTTTTGCATCTCTCCCTCTGGGAGAGGGTTGCAGTGTGCTGGCTGTTTCTGGAAGAGCTTTCTATCCCACGCTAATTTTTCTCCTTTTTGTTATGTCTCATTACTCCTAGTTTGTACACACTGGCATTACTCACCATTCTTCGTTCTTGTCCTCAAATGCTTGCAGGCGATCGTCTTGTTATTAAGCGGTCGCTGAGCATCAGACCTGCCAGCTCTGTGACCCTCCCTGGGCCTTTCAAATTTTTCCTACGCACACAACCAACGTGGAGATAGCGTTCCCCTGCCCTGATGTTTCTTCCCCCAGATGTGTCAGTGTATTTCTGACAGTATAGAACCATAGAACCACTTTGGTTGTAAAAGACCTTTGAGATCATAGAGTCCAACCTTTAACCTAACCCTGCCATCCCACCACTAAACCATGTCCCTAAGCACCTCATCTGTCCTTCTTTTAAATACCTCCAGGGACAAGGACTCCACCACCTCCCTGGGCAGCCCATTCCAGAGCCTGACAACCCTTTCAAAATTTTTCCTAATGTCTAGCCTAAACCTGCCCTGGCACAGCTTCAAACCATTTCCCCTCGTCCTATCGCCCGTTACCAGGGAGAAGAGGCCGACCCCCACCTCACTACAGCCTCCTGTCAGGCAGGTGTAGAGGGCGATCAGGTCTCCCCTCAGCCTCCTCTTCTCCAGGCTGAACAACCCCAGTTCCCTCAGCCGCTTCTGGTAAGACTTGTGCTCCAGGCCCCTCACCAGTTTTGTGGCTCTCCTCTGGACATGTTCCAGCATCAAACTAAGCACACTCTTCCAAATCCTGCCCTCTTAGACTGGGGCTGTCTCCTTCCCTGATGCTCAGAATGGTAAATTTATGTGTAGTCCTACACCTGGATTGACTGTATCTGTAGGCGTGTTCTGTTTAAATTGCCCCTCTGCTTTTTTAGGATACCAGCAGTATTGATGAGCATCTTTTTATACTTCCATCTCCCTAATTTTTTTGTTCCTTTCTGAATTTCTTTCTCCCTCTCTCTTGCTTTCTCTGTCTCCTTTTGGTTTAGTATCTGTTCTCCTTTGGTTTAGTTAGCGTACTCTTTGCTCGCTCTCCTGGAGCTTTTGATTTCTCCAGGTTTTCCTGTAGCCTCGTCGCTCTTCCACCAGATGTCTCCCCTGCAGCCAGTTCATCGCCCTTTTTCACCACCCCTTCAGTAAAAGGCTTTGAAAGAAGATGCTTGCTGCGCAGCACTAACTGTTTCTGCAAAGCCCCAGTTGAAGATTTTGTCCTGTGCTTGCGCAAATTTTGAGTTTTGCAGTTTAAAACCGAATTTTTTTAGTTTTACAAAGGTGATGTTACGGCGTGGGGAGGGAGAGGAAGATTGCTGTTGGCTTGTAGATGTCACACGGGAGGCTTGCTAGCGGGCTGGGGAGGATGTGGCTGCTGAACTGAGAACAATGAGTGTTTGGGGGCTTAACTGATGTTTTTGGAGGAGGTGGTGTAGCTACCCTGGTGGGAAATCTCGTGCTGCAGGAGTGGGCGACCCTGCTGACATCACGAGTGCGACTTAGCTCTAGGGGTGGGGACTGCCTACGTCAGGCAAGGTCTTAGGGACACACGGGTTCAGCTTCTGGGGGTAAAGGTGCTACGTCAGGACTGACTGACAGGACCTTTTATCCTTGAATATACAATGGAAAAAACCCCACCTTTGATTACCAAGAGAAAGGAAGAATATCCCAGATCCGGGCTAGGAATCCTGGTATTCCTCGGCCTCTGGCTGTGCAGCTGCTTGCAGTAAAGTCACAGAAATGGAGGCCCTTGTGGCTAGCGCGCGCGCACGCTCCAGACAGAGTGGGCAACAAGGCAGTCGGAGGCAACCTGAGGGCTGGCTTAATGAAATCCAGCTTTATTGCAGGCTGCGTTTCGCTCCCTGTCTTCTTCCACGTGCAGCTGCTGACTTCTTCTGTGCCTTATCTCTGCAGCACGGTGAGCACCGGTCTGTCCGTGTACCGCAACAAAACCGCCATCAGTAATTTTGCTGCGGCAGGAGGTAAGACTGCTACAACCTTGTGTGCTTCGCCCTTCATGAGCAAGGGGCGCAAGCGGGAAAGCGTAAGCAGAAATCCCGATCTCTTGGATTTGAGCAGGTCTCTAGCATCTGTGCCCCTGGGGTTTTGTTCCTCTTCTGCCAGCTGCCGCTGTGACTGCTCCGTTGTTTAACGGCTGCGGGGCTGTATTCCTAACAGAGAGAAGCGATGCACTTCTGAAGCCATTGGGGAGTTCTGTGGTCTTTAAAATACTTGCTGAAGGGGTTTGGGTGGGTTTTTTTCTTTTTTTTTTTTTTTTTGGAAAAATGCTTGTGTAGGGTAAAGGCAACACTTGGTGCGTGACCTGCTCTTATAACCACCTATTTCACAGGGAAAGCGTTTCTTATTTCCACTCTTTGTAACAGTTCGGTGCGCTGTTTATAAACGATCCTTTTCATGCTAAGTTTTGCGTGTCTGCTTTTGGCAACAGGGCTCCGGGTAAGTGATCTGCTTGTTCGGTTTTACAGGCATTAGTGGCCTTACAGTTGGATACCTCTTTTACTGATCTTTTCTGCTTTACATGGCAGCTACTGTTATTAGGTGTTGTTGAATTAAAAAAAAAAAAGGGGGGGGGGGGTGATGGGATCATGCTTGAGCCCAGAAAGAGCTCGGTTTTGCTTTCATGGGTACTTTTACTCCCTAGCATTCCTTGGGGAGTTTTTCTGAGGCAGAGGGAGCTTTGTGCAATGTTTTAGTGCAGAGACCACGGTGACTCTGTGGTGAGGGTCCCTCCCGCTGGCCCAGGCGCTTGGTTTCTGCTCTGTTAAAAGTAGGTGTCAGCTCACGGAGCGGAGAAACGCAGCAAAGCAGCTCCCTCCATCCGTATGCGATGGCCGGTGGGGGGCTGTTTGTGGTTTCAGTGGGTGTGTGTTCTTTTTAGCCTTCACAGGAGCCCTTTTCAGAATGCACTTGGGCCTGCAGGGACTGGCAGGCGGCTTCATGTTCGGAACAGCGTTTGGGTGAGTTGCAGCTGCTGCCGATGAGCGATGGAGACACAGCTACGCTGGAAGGGTGTTTGTTAGGCGGTGGCCTCGCACACCAAGCCTTGAGTCATAGATGGGGCTACAGAAGCGTCCCTTCCTCTCTTGCCTTGAGGCCTTTGCTCTACCTCTCTTGGGACCTCATGACGATGACTTTACTTCCAGCCTTTAAACTGGTTTTGGGGTGTGTTTTGCTGCTTCCACTGTGACAAGAACTTGGTGCTTTCAATAGAGCACCTTACTTGCTGCTATTTGCTTGTTAGAGGAGACACTAACTACTGATAAATAGCAAATTATGAGGACGGGTTATAGACCCGTCTGTCCCCCTTCCTTGGCGTGGTGGCTGATGAGCCCCGTGGCTGTGTGCAGAACTGTGTTGTCTGTGGGTGAAGGCGGGACTGTAAGACACAGCGTCTGGGCTCCCTTCTCAGCTTCAGCAGCAGCTGCTCCTGTAGCAGCTCAGACCCCAGACGGTGCACAAGAGGTGTGGGATGTCACAATGACACCTTTTGAAGAAGGGGGCACCCTGGGAACTGCCAGCCCCTAGGTTAGGAATCTGTGTAAAATTTTTTTTTTTTTTTTACAAAATAGGCCCCATAAAAGCCAAAATGTGGAGCAGCAGCCATTAGGAAATGCTGAGGGAGAAGCTGCATGGCTGGGCTGCGCAACCCAAGGCTGTAAGGTGGCACATCTCTGTGTATGTCTTGCAGTCATGTATCTCCTGAAGCTCCCTGGGGCGTGGAGAAACCCATGGTTCTCTCTCCAGGGCTCTGTCCATCAGGACAATGATCTCTTAGCTCAGGAGAAGTCTGACTTTTCAGGCACAACTGGGATTTCTTCTCAAAGTACTGACTTGTGACTCTCCTCACAAGTGAATTTGGGGATCCTGCCTGGACAAGAGGCTGAGCTTTCTATGTCCTACTTAGCACTGTCAGGATGGCGTCAGCTGTGGGCATGCCTGGAAGTGGCCTGGGGAGCTTTGCCAATGGAAGCACAAGCACATCCAAGAGCTGGACAGAAGCTAAGGAGGGGTGTCACTGTTGCAATGATGGGTTAGGTGATCTACAGGGGTTCCTTGGGCACCTTAAATCCTTCCAAACCTTTGCCCTGTGTGTGCCTGTCCATGAGTAAATTCAAAACACGTTCTCAAAGGGGCTACAGTGAGTCACAGGTGAAGACAGGCTGCGTTTGGGGGCTGGCACTAGGACTGCTTTAGCCTGTGGTGTGGTAGGAGTATTGGGGAACGTTACACTCCACTGATCTGGTGGTTGCCTCCCACCCACCCACTCCCCCCCGCATGCTGCTCCTTTTGCCGATGCTGGTAAGTTATTACTGTTGTGTGTCCCCTGGGTGACTCGTGACTTTTCTGCTTCCTCCTCTAGGATCCCTGCAGGGGGCCTCTTAATGATAATGCAGAAGCTTGCTGGTGAGACCTTGCAGGAGAGGAGGCACCGTGAGCGCAGGGAGCTGTATGAGCAGAAGTTAGCGGAGTGGTAAGGAACAGCTCTGCCCGTTCGAGTCTTTGGCTAGAAGTGTGTCCGGGTCTGTGCGGTTCAAACACTGAAAGAAACCACGATGCCTGAGGTTTTTCTGAGCCTCGCTTCTTCTGCTCTTGGTTTTTGGTGTGTGTCACATACCAGTCTGAGAACTGCTGATTTAGTCTTCCCAGCGTTAGATGTTGCTGCTTATTTTGTAACAAGGTATTTTGTTCAAAATTCATGCCCTGACCCTGGCCCAGTAACTCTGCATTAGGTTTTCACTTTTGCGGTGGCTGAGAAGACAAGCAGGGCAAGCACATCACTATTTCTTTACCAAAGTTGAGAGGGGCCAGAGCTCTGGCTTTTCCTTCATTGCTGCCTTCTTTCCATCCCCGTTAAAGAGAGGAAAAGCAGTGGCTAGCTGGAGGCTTTGGGGAGAAAAGGCTATGGCACTGGTTGCATGACTGACTTAAAGCTACGAATCGTGCCGGTTCTAGAAGAAACTTTTCTAGAGCTGGGATTCTGCAGTGATGCCTTTGTCAGGAGGATAGAGGCGTAAAATTACTTTGTGCTCTCTTTTCTCTCGTTAGGCAATCCAGGCTCAGTGTGACTGAAGTCTTAGGCCAAATGGAAGGCAACGCCCAGGGGGGGCCGGAGACGGAGCAAGCGGGAGAATCTAGGAGTTACTGAGTCCTCCCCAGATCTCTGCTGTAAGCAGCTACAAAGTATTTTGATTCTGCTTGTAAAAGTCTTCGGTCAAGGCGTCATGGAAGTCTTCTGTGAACGCAGTTATATCCTGTGCCCTTGTGAAAAAGGGTTTTGCTGAAAACATTGTTCGTGGATGCGTATCACTGCACAAGAGCTCGGAAGGGCCAAACCTTTTCCACCTGAGAAGGTATAATCGCAGACTCTGCAGACTAGCAAGTGTCATCTAGGTTTGGCAGGGGGTGAGGACAACCCCAGAGCCTCATCTAGAACCCATTTCACTGCTGAAAATGTCCAAACCACCAGCGATGTAGAACTGTTCACGGTAAAGGAGCCTATGCAGGTACCCCGATTCCACAAGCTAATTACGCTCTGGTGAAAGCTGCTCTTCAGGTGGCGCCTGAAGAACTTGCTGTCAAAGCGCAACCCGGGCAGCACCAGAGCGAGTGGTGGTTCTCCTCCTCTTGCTGTCCCCCTTCCACAGCTTGAGTTGGCCGGACTGGGACCGATGCTGTTTTGCCAACAGTGGTTTCTTCAGGCTTTTTTGCAGAAAAACACACTTGGTTCCTGCAGTACTTGGGGTATTTTGCAGTCAGTGTTGAGGAAGGGTGGAGGAGCTGGGAATGATACAGAAATACCCTGAAAAAGACATGCTTTGGGTTCCTCAATAGAAGTGTGGCTGAGGGGGCCACAGAAAGGATGACTTGTTTCTGGTGGTGATGGTGGAAGAATTGGCACCACAGGCAGTTTTAACAATAAAAAGGCCTCTAATTTCACGTGAAGGTTGGAAATTAGGGGATTATCTTTGGGGCAGGTGTGGTTCAAGACACTCAATAAAGCCATCTAGCAGTGGTGATTGTGTCCATAAGCTCTTTATGTTAGTACAACAGTTGCGCGAGAGAAATGTAGGTGGGTGTGATCCCATGCGAGGAGCTCTGCCTGAGATCCACCAGCGAGCGATGAAGGCTGATGGCGGTGTCAGGCATTCCACTGGGCAGTAACAGACGAGAGCCAGGAGAGTGCCAGCTCTTCATTGTTTTGTACCAGAGATCAACTGTTAAGGCATAGCTGTTACCTATGGGTGGGGCTGAAGTTAATGCACTAAGGGGCTGTGCCCAGAAGGGCCGGGTGGCCCCTCACCATGTCCTTCAAAGCAGAAGGTCAGAATTCTTGTCCCCTTTCTTTGTTGGCATTTTTTTTTTTTCCTCCTATCAAAGAGAATTACATCCAGGCAGGGGGGTTGGGTCTCTTTCCTACAAGAGAAGAGTAGTCAGGTTGTTCTGGTTGAATGCTTTTCTCTGGTACAGCTGATTACTGTTGATGGAAATATGAACAGTCGATTCCACAGGGTATATTCCACCCACCCAAAGCAGATTTTTGGCACAGCTTGCTTCCAAGAAGGTGGTGTGGTTTTTTCTGACTTCTGAAATTAGCATTATTTTTTTTTTTTTTAAACACCTCAGTGTAGTCATTTTTCCACTGAAGAAATACATGTGTTTTGGGGTTGTCATCAACCAGCTTTGATTTTCCTTTCCTGTGTGTAAGCAAAGGATTCAAATAAGCAGAGGTATGGTTATGTTGCTCCCCCCTCCTGTTTTAAGCTGTGCTTGCATTGGTGACAGTAATGTTATTGTCCTCTGCCCCCTCAAAAAACCAAAATAGCAGGCCCTTCTGAGTCACAGTTTTGACATGTGGTTACGCAGCAATGTTTTACCTTCTTTTTTTCTTTCTCTCCCCTTTTTTTTTCTTGCTGTTACATCCCAACCAGATAACCCACACTCTTACCTGTATAGCGGTTCTGATTTGCATTTAGCTGTGTCATTGCTCAGTCCCTCTCTATTCCTATTTAGTGGTATTTGATGTGATCTCTAAAGAACAGTAATTTTCTTGTGTCGGACCGCTGATGCAGGGGTGTTCTTCCATGGGAGGATCTGCAGAGCCAAGGTGTAGCGGTTGCATGGATTGTCTCTCCATGGAAGGAAGGGCGGGCTGCTAGACGTCCTTACGCTGTGCAGTAGCAAGGGGAAGCAGAGGCTTCCATCTACACTCCAGATTAGCAGCCATTTTTTTTACTCCGTTTCCTGAGTTCCCTGCACTTCCTCATTTCTTGTATTCAAAGTCACTGTCCAAACGGGGAGCGAAGAGTTGGTTCAGAACTTACTCTTTTAAATACAAACGCAAGGGATTCTTCAGATGGGCACGCCGCACCCCCCACAACCCCAGCAAAAGCACAGCACTGAAGTTACCGGTCCTCCACTTTCAGGGTAGGTAACACAAGTAGCAGGGTTACAGTGAGAATGTCTTACACCGGCCTTTGCTTTTGCAGAGAACCTCCCTTTTTGGGAGGGAGAAGGCAGACCCATGGCAAACCGAGCGTTGAGCACCGTAGCTACGCTGCTCCGTTAATCCCTGACAAAGCGACGGGCACGAGCTACGTGGAAGTTAGAAGTTTGGAACCTGAGTGCCAGTTTGTCAGTGCTGATGTGCACACCAGACGGAGCTGTACCTGTTACAGTGTTGTCGGCCAGCTGCAGGGTACGTTTTTAGCAGCTGCGAGATGGTGGCTGGGACTCCGGTGAATAATTGAAAGGCTCTACCACCTCCCAGCAGATAGAACCGATGTCTTTTATTACTGAGGAAAGGAAACTGAGTTTACTTTTTTTTTTTTTTTTTTAATACAAGTAAAGGATGATCCCTGAGAAAAAAAATGTTATATACAAAATACCTGGGATAAAGAGAGCAGCTCACCTGGTACAAAGACCCAGATATTAAGCTGAAAAGGTCTCACAGAAACCATTTGTGTGCAATTCACTGAATACCGCATAAGGCAATAGAAAACACGATTCATAGTATAAGTGCTTAAGGAAAACTTAAACCAATTAACCTGCCCATCAAGAATATAAAAACAAACTGATGCTAGTCATATTTGTCAGTGAAACTTTTTGTTCCCTTTATGAGGAGTTACTTAAAGTGTCACAGGAGTCTGTGGTGATGTAGAAAGGTTTGGAACGGTGCAAAAGACAAACCCTTCTCCAGGAGGCTGTGCAGTCATCACTCGGGAGCAGGAGAGCACGAGCTATTCAGAGGGAAAATGTTGTGCCAGTACAACTGTCAGAGCTGTGCTGTGGTTGGCAAGGTGGAAGTGCATCATGGTTATAGCAGGGAAGGAAGCACAGTGTGCAAAATGAGCACAGTAAATGCAAAAAAAAGAGGATGTTCAGCCCGCAAGAAGCTAACAGTTTGTGCTGCAAGGAACAAACATAGACTGAAAGAAAAGGAAACTTGGAAAGTATGAGACACCGTTGCCCATATGCCAAGTCCTGCAATAAGGTCAGGCTGCCTTTTGGGAACGCTGCTTCCTGTGCCACCTATGTTCTGCTTGCAAACAAAACGCACACATGCAGAGTGTTGCTTCCTCATCACCCACTTTTCTCCTTTTCTCTGTTAAAAAACCCTCCATGAGAATGTTCTGAAGCTCCCATTTCACTTCATATAATGGGAAAGCAGTAAAAAAGTAGATGGGGCAGCATGGCTCTGCAGGAGTAGAAAGGGAGCCATGTCTTATTTTTTACTAGTGACTTGAGCCCTTAGCCTCTCATAGCTCGATCCTCTATAAACCGCTTTAGTCCTCCCATTTCCTCCAGCAACTTCTCTCCCAGTATGTACCCTGTAGAAAAGAAGTGAAATGGATGGAGTATTTCTTTGCTGTGTCCTAGCAAGATAAACAGCTCGAGCAACAAAACATCCCCCAAAGAAGATGGCACAGTGCTTTCAGACGTTGGTCTGCCCTGCTGACTACACACACAGCTAGAGCGCTAAGGGAACGGGTACAGCGCAAAAGGGAGAAACGAACCCATCAAACTCAGGGCAGAGTTAAGTTAGTATGCAGAGCTGCTTAGGAAGCTTGTTGGGGCTTTTTCCTCTTTTCCCCTCAAAATGAGAAACTACTTTTTCCTACACAGTAGGTAATAATACCACCCACATCAGATGAGTCCTACCCAATGTTAGCATCCTGTAGGGAACCTCCTTCTAGTCCTGGCTGGGTAGAGAGAATGCTGGCAGAAAGCAGCAGCATTCAACACAAAGTAAATCCCTATGTCGCTGCCAGAGACTCTGAAGAAGCGGGAGAGCCTTACCCTAACAAGTATTCCTAGGCAAACGTACAAACAAAAGCAGACCTGTGTTTATGAATCATAGAATCATAGAATCACTTTGGTTGGAAAAGACCTTTGAGATCATCGAGTCCAACCTTTCACCTAACTCTGCCATCCCACCACTAAACCACGTCCCTAAGCACCTCATCTATCCTTCTTTTAAATACCTCCAGGGATAAGGACTCTACCACCTCCCTGGGCAGCCCATTCCAGAGCCTGACAACCCTTTCAGTGAAGAAGTTTTTCCTAATGTCTAGCCTAAACCTGCCCTGGCACAGCTTCAAACCATTTCCCCTTGTCCTATCGCCCGTTACCAGGGAGAAGAGGCCGACCCCCACCTGGCTACAGCCTC